GCTTAACCGATTGAGCCACCCAGGCGCCCCCTCATAGGACTTATTAATCTGGGATTCACAGAAACTCAAATTTTCTTTTTTGTGTTTGCATTTTTCCAGGGAATCATTAAATTTTCTTGTCATTTTTGGCAGGGATAGGGGAGGAGAACCACTGCCTTTTTTTGTGTTTTCATCTGTTCAAATGTCCGTTTATTAATATGAGATGATAAATCAAGACTGCTCCAAGTAGTTCCCATTTCCCATGTGACTAGCTCTGAATTATAAATAATCTGTTGAGGGCCCACCTTGTGCCAGGCATCCTTTACATACCTTATCTCACTGAAGTCTTTGCAACTTTATGAGGTAGACCCTCTCTTTCCCACTTCATAGAGAGGGCTCTCTCTCACATTTCCTAGTTGTCCATATGGCCCCAGTTTGAAAATGACTAGATTGGAATACAAACCCAGGTATTTCCAAACCCAAAGCCTATGTTCTGCTATGTTCTAGAGACATAATGAGGAATATTTAAGATGGTCCTTTCCGTTTAAGATTATAATGAGAGAACACTGGTAAGCAGGCAGTGACATGTTAGCACTTACAGAATTGGACAATAGGGGTCAAAGAAGTGTTCTTGAAAGAGGTGACCTCTAGGCTGAATTTTGAAGGACAGGCAAGGGTTAACCAAGTAACAAGAAAAGAGCAGTGAGTGCAAAGATGAAAGGCAGAATACCGCTGGCCTTGCAGGGTTGGGGTGCAGAATAGTGAGGAGTCATTCAAGAGTTTGCATCTTAACCCTGAGGGCAGTGGATCCTGCCTTGCTGTAGTCTGAACGTTTGATAGTAATCATAAGAGAAAGGGCTGAGCTTTTCTGAAGGGCTCTCAGCACATAACCTGACTTAACTTGTTTCAGGCAGGCCCAGGGGAAGACAGAAAAGCATATTGTAGTTGGGGTCCTCTAGCCTGGGTCAGATACTGGCCTCACTGTTTCAAAAAGGCTGTGCGCCCCCACCCCCTGCCTTTAGTTTCTTGGCTTCTTTAGGCTCTGATCTTCTCTTTGGTTTATGATAATTAAACCTCCCCCCCCCCAAAAAAAAAGCCCTATAGTCTTTTGATGGGAATAGTAGGCATGATCTCCCTACCTCATAGGTATTGAGAGAATAAATGTGATTTTCACATCATTTAGAATTTGTTCCTTGTTCCCTCGGTTATACATTCTATCAAAAACCAGGTTGCCTTTTGGGGCTTAATCATGTTCTTATTTGAGAATGTTAGACCCTGTACTGTGAAAAAGTGCATTGCTTTCCAAAGACTAAAAAAAATGTTCTTAAATAAGAGTAGTCAGTATTAAGTTCTGGTTTATCAATTTTTATAGCTATTATTAAAAAATGTTTTTGAAATACATTTCTAAAATTGTCCAGAGAGTCTATTGTTTAAAAGTTAAATGACTGGTTTTTCATTCTTCTACTCCTTCCTCTTTCATTTGACTTACCTTGAAGTACTTGATAGACACTCCAGTAAGGATATTGAATTCCAAGGTTACTATTTAATCAGCCATTCTAAGTTGTTTTTTTCCTAAAGATCTGTGATATTGGTAAATGGAAGTAGGCAAATTAGTATAATAAGATAATCTAGATTTGTCATATTTTAATATAGTTGCAGAGTTGCATTTTTAAGTACTGGGGATGATTACACTGCATAAATGAGATGCTTCTATTTAAAGTAGAAAAGAATTACTTTGTATACTTGATGATCTTGAAGAATAAGAAAATTTGAGAACATTAATTGCATATGTTAGATTTTTAGAAATTATACATTTGTGGGGTATTTAGTAGGCCTATTCTTCTGAGACTTAGGTTCCTTTAGTTGTAATTTGGGGTAGTTTCAAAAGTTCTTTCAACATTTACACTTATTTGCATAATGTCATCCACTTGTTACGATATTCTGGATAAGCATCGGCTTTGTATCAAGTATTGTTTTCTTTGATCTTTTTTTGTGTGTGTGCAGATGTTTGTGGATTCTTCTGTGGGATCAGAGGGCACGCCTATTGTAATCAGAAAACTCCAAGAATAGCAGCAGGGATGGATGAACAGGCTCTTTTAGGGCTAAATCCCAATGCTGATTCAGACTTCAGACAAAGGGTAAGTTAACTTAATCATTTTTTAAAGATTGTTACCACAGATTTGCATTAGAGGACTTGAATTTAAAAACAAAATACATTTGATGGTAAAGGTTTCATTTGAGTAGAAATGAAGAGAGACAAATTTGAGGTACTTGAATATATTCTGAATACAGAAACGGTGAGCATTGTGATTGATGTTCTTTCTAGTTGGCTCAGCAAAGGTATTAAAATCTCATGTGATTCAAGGCAGCTCTTTATGTCACATCAGTCATTATTTCTAATTATTTAAAAGTTGCAGTGCAAAGGATTGCTCAAGGAACTTTCCATAGTGGCAGACATGCATATTTTATCTTTATATTTCCTGGCTTGGTCTGGACAAGTTGCTTAACCTTCATGTTAGTGATATTTAGCGTCCTTGTTACTTAGTCCAGGCAGACATGTAAATTAGAGGTTATGATATGCCATGTCTTAGGTTACATAAAATGATTAGATAACAAGGAATCCATTATGAGGTGCTGGGATATTTGAGAAAATATAAACAATTAAACACAATGTAGGCTATACCTGTAATCATGGCTATAGCTGAACGATAAAAGAAGAATTTAAAGAATAAGCCTGTAATTAAGTTTTTTTAAAGATGTGGGTGTTTTGAAATATAGGGTAAGTGGAAGGAGAACCATTTTCTCTTTCTACTTCTCATAGCAAAGGATATTTTTTATAAATGAGCTAAATGAGGGTAACAGTCTCACTAAATATTATTGCAGTTTTTGTTGTCCTTTTAAGGAGAATTTTTTTTTTTTTAAGATTTTATTTATTTTTGCGAGAGATTGCGTGGGAGTGAGTGCATATGAGCCGGGGGTGGGGAAGCAGACTCCCCGCTGAGCAGGGAGCCTGATGCGGGACTCGATCCCAGAACCCTGGGATCATGACCTGAGCGAAGGCAGATGCTTAACCTAACCGACTGAGCCACCCAGGTGCCCAAATTTTACTTAAAAAATTTTTTTAAGTAAAAAAACAATCTCAAGTAGTTTCTCACATGGTTCCATGCCTCTGCTGTTACATAAGTAACCAACCATCCGCATAAAGGTAAATAACAAGAATTGAGATTTAAATAATCTGGCTAGTTACAAGATACCTAACAAACTAGTTAGGACATCAAAAGACATTTAAAATCCATGTTTTCTGTGTGTAGACAAATTTCTTTATGTAGGAGTTTAAGCTACCTACCTTCAAAGCCTTAGTCACATAGTTGAAGTATCATAGATTTTTACCTTGGTATTGCATGGCTATAACCTTTTACTATTTGTTTAATTATTAAATAGCCTTTTCTGTTGTTTCTTTAATGATCCTTTATGGAAATCATTTGTTTTTTATTAAATACCACTATCCAACAGATTTTTTAAATGTGCAATGATCTTCTTTTTCAGAAAAGTAAATCCAATGCATTGTTAGTGGTCTTAATATAAAATTATGCTTTTTATCAATAAAAACGAGTTCTATCAGTTACAGGTTTATGTCAAGCATCCAAATTCAGGCTTAGTTTGATATCCCATTAAGCCAACCTGAGTAACAGAATTAATTAGGATAAAAAGGAATCTTAAGGAAAGTGAATTCTGATAATTCTGATGTTGGAAATCAAGAGTAGTGGAACACTAAATCATTTTGATCATAACTGTCTGCCAACTCCAATTCTCAGTTGTCTGGCTATAGTTCTTTTTTTTTACAGGGACAGTAGCTAAAGTGACTCTGTTGCCACTTAGAGGAAATAGAGGAAATAGAGGAAAAGGTGATAAAAGCTTTGACTTGTTCATAATTGCCACAAAATTTCACTTAAAAATGCTAGTAAATGGGGCATCTGGGTAGCTCAGTCGGTTGAACTTCCGACTCTTGGTTTCGGCTCAGGTCATGATTACAGGGTTGAGGGATCGAGCCCCACATTGGGGCTGCATGCTCAGCTGAGAGTTTGCTTGAGATTATCTCTATTCTCTCCCTCTGCTCCTCCACCCATGCTCTCTCTCTCTCAAATAAATCCTTTAAAAAAATGAAAATGCTAAAAATGCATGCATTCAGAATGCAAAGACTTTAAAACCTGAAAACTCTCAGGTTATTTTCACTTTTTTAATGGAATCAATGTCTTTGGCTTAAAACTTGATATTATTTAAAGAAAACGGTATGTCAGTGATAATTCTAGCAGCTGAATCCCCCCCTTCTTTTTTTGGTAAGTGAAATATTAGGTGGTAATGCAGCATACATGATTGACTTCCACCTTGCCCTTAAATGGGACAGTAAATGTTCCTAAAAGAAACCCTAGGTTTCATGGAATATTGTTAGACAACAACTGGGTTGTCGCCTGTGTTCTTCTGTTCTTAATTTCCAAAGATAACCATTATTTATATTTAACATAGTATTTGGTGATCTTCATCTACTTACCTTCATTTACTTGGTTCTTTATCAGTGGGAGCAGCCAGTGAGACCACATATGAAAACCCATTCCCTCATTCATACAACTGTAATAGAGCTTTTTTGCTTTAAAGGAAAAAATTTTACATCTTGACTTTGTGTGTATAGGCAGACATATATAAGTATATTTTATATATATATAGTATATGTACACACAACTAAAACAATTTACACAAAATAATAGTTATTTTTATTATGTGCAGTGCACTCTGATGTTCTGTCATTTTTGATGGCTGATCAGGACCTATAAAATTGATTTCAGGGGTGCCTGGGTGGCTCAGTCAGTTAAACATCTGCCCTTGGCTCAGGTTGTGATCCTGGAGTCCCGGAATCGAGTCCCGTGTCGGGCTTCCTGCTGGGGCGGGGAGTCGACTTCTACCTCTGACCCTCCCCCTTCTTGTGCTTTGTCTCTCTC